GGAGACACACTCCAAACATACATAGATTGAAGGGAAAAGGATAAAAAAGGTATCAGACAAATAGTAACTAAAAATAAAGCTAGTACAGATTATGTTAATAAAAAAACAGAACAATTGTTTATCTTAAAATATAAAAAATGACAGTAAATATCAATAAAAGGTTCAATTTACTAGGCAACAAATGCTCAAAATACTTAAGGCAAAGATAGGCATGAATACAAAAGTAGTTAACTAAAGAGAACATCTTTGTGGGTTTTAATACATCTCTCTGTAACTGACATACCAGACCAAAAACAAGGAAACCCTAACACCTAGTAGAAAGATCAAAACAGTATCACATTTGTACCATTTGGGAGTTTTGATCTCACCCTACAGAACACTCTACCCAACAACTGGAGAATACACATCTTCTGTGAGCACAGGTGAAATAGTTTTGGAAATGGGTTAAATGCTAAGTCATAAAGCTAGTCTCCGTAAGTTTCAAAGACCACATTTTCTGACTATAATGCAATAAAGTTAGAAATCAGTAACAAAAATATAAATAGAAAAACTTCCTATATTTGAAAATCTAAAACTGTTCTAGAAACTATAAAAACCTATACTACACATCAATATGACTAAATCTCAAACAATCGAAATAAGTCACAGAAGACTATACATATAAAGAACTGCTCACTTATTTAAAAAAAACACATTCACTGGTGACAAAAGTATAATGAAAGGCAAGGGAATGATTAACATAAAATTTACTCTAGTGGTTATCTCTGGGTGGTGAGGGGACTGTGGGGGCCAGTCAGGTGGAGAGAAGATCTACTGTGGCCCTATTAATGTTTCATTTCTTGAGGTGGGACTAGAGATCTGGGTGATCATTCAAAATTTTAAAATTATACATGAGCCTTCTACACTTTTAGATGATAATAGAATTACAATAAAATTATGGAAAAAGAAATGTGGAGAGAGAAAAAAGGATTAGGTGTAACTGTTAAAGTGGAGCTAAAAAGTCACAAGGGTGAACAAGTTGCCACCCATACCATTTCCTCTCTAGACTATCCAATGCCTCTGCCTGCCTCCTCCGTCAGTCAATAAAAGCAAAATCCACCTTGTTCTGTGACACTTTTAGGAAAGGTGCATTCTCTCTCATCCAAGGTCTCCCTTACATCATTCCAAGGATTCACTCCATGGTCTTATCTCTCTTTCCTGATATAGGTTATATTCCCTAATGTGTCCACATTAAATGAATTTTGTAAACATTTGTCCTTATCTTTTTATCCTATAAAGAGTGAGATAGTATCATGAAACAGAGGGTGAGACACCGTTTTACCTGCATGTCACTTTTGGCAGCTTTCACAGCATCGAAAAGATCACTGGTTGGTGGTTCTGAGTCTCTCTGGCCATGACCACGTACCATTCGGGACCCCTTCTTTGGATGTTTGGCCACCTAGTAAGTATAAAGAGATCATGAATATCCTTAAAAAGTAGACGTGATATTAACACTTAGTCTCATCATTGTCACACAAGTAGGCTTAAGCTGCCAATTTCACAGCAGAGTATGAGTTACTGAGATCTGAAATAACTAATTCTTATATTGTGAACTTTATTATTTTCTTCTCTTTTAAAAAAGTCCCTTAGGCCCATTTCTATTTCTTTATGCCCTTACTACCCTTTTCTCTTATCTTTTCTCTTCAAAATTTGCCCTCTTCTTATTTCTGTCCCTTAATGCTGTTTAAATTTTATCCTTTCATCAAACATATCATCTGAGGCTTTTTCTAGGTTTTCTTTTGCTGCTTCCCAGACCAAATTCAAAAGCAAAACAAAATGGACTGACTCACTGGGGTTGTCCTGAGTGGTCGTTTTGCTGCTCTCTTCTTCACACTGTGTCTCAGGCTGTCTTCAAAGTCACTGCCTTCATCAGCTGACAAAGAATCACTATCCCTATGAGGGAATGTGGTTCTCCTTAGATACAACACCCCAGTCTTTATATACAAGGGTAAATGAATTAGAATTTCTTTGTCTCTGACTGTAGCCCTTTCCCTGTGAGAAAAATATATTCACATTTTCTTAAGATGTGTTGGGGTGTCTGGCTGGCTCAGTTACTGGAGTGTGTGGCTCTGGATCTTGAGGTTGTGGGTTCAAGCCCTGTTGGGTGTAGAGATTACTTAAAAATAAAATCTTTAGCGGGCATCTGGGTAGCTCAGTCGGTTAAGTGACTGACTCTTCATTTCAGCTCAGGTCACGATCTCACAGTTGTGAGATCGAGCCCTGCATCAGGCTCCATGCTGGGTGTGGAGCCTGCTAAGATTCTCTCTCTCCCTCTCCCTCTGCCCCTCCTCTGCTCATGCACATGTGTACTTTCTCTCAAAGTGAAATAAAGTCTTTTTAAAAAAAAAAAATAAGAGATGTGTTTACTGTTACAGGGAGTAGAGACAAAAATCTTAAAAGAAAGCTTTCACTTGAAGAGAGCAATGAAGATGAAAAATGAGAAACTGAGATGGGTGAAGGACAACCTTTTCCTAATATTCTCTCTGAATAAGAAAATCAAGTGATATTCACTTAAACAGGCAGAGGGATCACTGCTGTGGCGAAAAATCAGCATGGCCTGGTAAGTCGCATATTACTCATATATAACTTGGATGTTAATATGTGCCTAGAGTTAAATTTCATCCCTTGAAAAAAGTTTGTAAGTTGTATTGACTAGAGTTAAGTTTATAACATAGATATAATCTTCTCTCCAACAGTGGCACTGATAGAAATGAGTCAGAGGAAGCCAATTAAAAAATAACCAGGAGATAAATCAGATCTTGTATGAGGTTATTTTATTCCTGGAAAGATAAAAAAGATATATTATTATAACCTTCACAAAACACGCTGGTAAATGATAATAGAGAAGGATAGACAAACCTGTTTATAAAATCCCCAAATAAAGGATCACACACCAACCAACAAGTATATACTATTTGTCAGGAGCAAACAAAGAACTCTTCTCCCTCCCCCACCTCCCCACTCCCAATAGAGGCTCTACATGCTGAGCATACAAATATATGCAAGAAAAGTTTGGACAAATGGATGATAGATTTGGAAGTGGATATATTATTTTTGATGTCTACAACATGTACGGCAGGGGGGAGAAAAACCCAATTAGCTAGCAAAGCAGGAGAGAGTCACTGCTCTGAGAGTGCATCTCTTAATGTTTACACAGAGGGGCAGACAGAGCTGAAAGCTGCCCCCACTGTGGGAGAAGGCCAGGCAATGCAACAAGTTCTCATCGACTCCACTCACCCCTCTGCAGTCTGGTCCGAGTCCCTGTCACCACAGGGCATATTGACAGACGAACTAGAAGACGCAGACAAGACCCTCTGTCCGCCTCCCGACGCTCTCCGCAGTGGGGAGGACACACTGCTTGGGGAGGAGGAGGATCGCAGCGTAGGCATGATGGTCGAGCTGCGGAAGTGAGGAGGAGAGGAAAGGGCCTCTAGCCCACCACGTCTCCAGCCTCAGCTCTGACCATCCCCTTCCTTTCCAAGGGAAGTGCTCTGCAACTCGGGGGTGGGGTGTGGATGCGCACAAAAAAATGACCGTCTTGACCTAAGGCATCTGGGGATTAGAGACATCACGGCCGCGCATTTGGAATCCTCTCCAAGGCCGCCACGATGCGCACACCAGAGCCGCTTAAAGCAGACCCCTCTCTGCACGCGTCGGAAACGTAGATTGCCTGGTGCAAAGGAGACCAGCTCAAGCGGTACAAATTGAAAACAAAACAAAACAAAACAAAACCCCAGTCTTTCATTTTCAGGCTGGAACCTGATTCCACATAGAATGGAATGGGAAGCACTTAACGATTTACGGGTGCAGTCACCATTAGAACTGGAGCAGAAACACTGAGGGAGTAAAGGAAAACTCTCGTTCTCCACTTTTCCAGCAGATGGTATCTCTGACTGACCCTGGGGCAAGTGGGCTGAGGAGCTTCCTAATCGCTGACGGGAGTGACTGTCAGTCTCTTGGGGCCTGGGGCTTGGGGTTCCTAGCTTCTGTGGAGGAAGCCATTGAGGCCTGGGGGAGGGTGGGTTCCTCTCTCAGGGCCGGGAGTGCGGGGAGAGGGCGTATTCTTGGGTCAAAGAGGAGCCTCACTGTCTTGAGCCTGGAATAGCGACGTCTGGCTGATCAGGGATGAGGAAAGATCACAGCCTTGGCTCCCTCGGGGTTCTGCGTTCTTCACCCCGCGACCAGAACAGGCGCCGGCTGCTTCTCTTCCGGTGGTGGAAGAATCCAGAAAAACGCGGGAAGGCGCGAGACACGTTGTGCGCAGACGCGAGCTCAACGGCACGTCCCAGGACTGGAAATTGTCGCGAGGCTTGGGCGTGTGCGAGCTCGTGTTCACCACGTTACAGTCACGCTGCTCCAGCAGCCTCGTGCAGCCCGAGCTTTTCGAGCTCTTTGGCGTGCCGCCCCGTCACGTGGACTCAGGCGCGCTGATCCTTGGCTTTAGCCCTGCTCCACCTCGGTCCCGCCCCCGCTGCCCCCAATTTCCCCCTCCATTGGTCGGGCTTCGCACTAGACTTCTTGTAGCCCCTTCACTCTGGCTTCTCAACTGCCATAGGCTGGGTTCCACCCAGGCCCCGCCTTTCGAATAGGATAGCCACGCCCCCAATAAAGGCCACGCCCCTCCCCCACCAGCCTCTTTAGTTCCGCCGAGTCCCGCCCTCCCCGACGAGCTTCCCCACTACATTGGCTTAACTTCTCCCTCGACCCCGCCCCTGAGGCCCGCTCCTTACCATCATTGGCGGCACCCCGCCTCGGACCCCGCCCCCTGTCCGGCTCCCAGCTCCCATTGTCTCCGCAGATGCCGCTTGGTCCTGCTATCGTGCGCGGTGTTCAGTTTTCTGAGGTCGCGCTCTTTTTCTGGCCGGGGGAGCGGTCGCGCGGCAGAGAACCGGATTCCCGAGTTCGGGCTGTTCTTCTTTCCTTCTTAGGACACACTTTGCAGAACCAGGGCTGCAGCAGCTATGTTCGCTCTGCCATCTCTTCTGCTTTTGCTGCTGTCTCTGTGTCCCGGTCCTGGTCCTGGACCCGGGAGTGAGGCAAAGGTCACCCGGAGTTGCACTGAGACCCGGCAGGTGCTGGGGGCTCGGGGATATAGCTTAAGCCTACTCCCTCCCGCAGTGATCTCAGGTGAGGAGAATGAGGAAGACTAAAGAATTGGGGGCGAGGGAGGGGGCGGGGGCGGCTCCCCCCCGCTTCACAATAACTCTTCCTTTTCAGAATGACCGTTATAATAATCTTTTCATGCCATTGTCATGCCAATAATGTCTCTTCTCCTGAACTTACTTACTAGGATCACAGTTATCCTCTTGTTCACATAATAGCTTTCTTACTCCACCCTCACACTAGGAATACCTTTCTAATAATTGGC